TATATTTTGAATATTTCATATGTTACATCATTTCTTATGTATTGCCAACATTCGTATCTTTAGTTACAAACGGCCCTTCATACAAATGCATGAAATCACTTTTTTCTCCTTTTTCATGGAGTTTTGAGCGGCCATTTTTCAAGTTCAATATTTCGATTAATTAATCGATTAATCGATTATCAACCACCGATTAGTCGATTTGAAACGATTACTTCATTCGCGATTAATCGATTACCGATTAATCGATTAGTTCATTAATCGCCCAACCCTAGTAAACAAAAGAACACCGGGCGCGACCGTTGCTCGTGTTGCCGCATCGCCCTACGGATAGGGATTTAGCATGTTGTTATTTCTGAATATTCTATTAAACATGACATCTCTGTTAGGAACACAAACAACAACATAACCTCAAAGTTGAGTCGTGTTTCGTTCTCCCGCCGGATCAACCGGAATTAATAAATTCACTTTTAAATTTTTTATATCTTTAAATTTTTGGAAGTTCTACGGCTATGTTTCTCCCGCTTTCTGAATTGAAGCAGCTTTTTCCCGTATCAGAACCATTTTTACGATGAAAATCAGTTGTTTCTCTGTGTAGAACTCTCATCTCAATGCAAATAGTTTTTAGCCTTCCATGCATCCCACGACAATCCATGCTTGAAGTTTGTTACAAAGAAAATTGTCAAGTTACGATAAAACAATAGTTATTAAGGAAGGAAATATCATCATGTCAGAGGAAGAATTATCACCTGGACCGAGCACTGGTGAGATGGGTGATGACGACACTGAATCAACCAGAACTCCTCAGGAAGAGAATGAAGTATCGCCAGGAAAGAGCACCAGTGAAAAGGCTGAAGGCATTACTGAAACGAATGGAACTTCGCGGATATTTCTTCTCCACAGTAAGTTAACCTTCTTGATGACTATCAGGGTTATGAGCACAGCGGGATTTAGGCATAGGGCCATAGGTCATTTAGGCCGCAGCTCAGGGTGGCAATAAATTGTGCCAAGAGGAGAAAGATACGGCGCCGTTGCACACACCGTGTTGCTGGAAAAAGCTTAAATTATGCGGTTTTTTCTTACGCAAATTATAGAAATGACACCCGAAAACATTTTTTTTTCATAGAATGCCTTGGTACACATTTATTTGATAAGCACTACATCCCAACTCCCTCCCCCCCTCCCCCTTTCAGTTTTCTATAACTTGACTGCTTTTACCCGCTCTTCTCTCGTGACAGCAAGGCGGCAAAACCTTGGCGGCTTTGGGGTGGTAAACACATACGTCTAGCCATGGCTAGGCCTTGTCTCCACGGGACGTTTCATTGGATTTGTTCCAGGGAAAAATCTCACTTGCGAAGTTGGGAAAAATATTGAGTCAGTCACTACTGATTAGAGTACCTGTATAGGGAGAGTATGGACAGATCTGAAACTCCGCAAGTCCATCAGGCCTTCACCGATGCCTCTGCGAATAAAGTTAGGACCCAAAAGGGCAACCAACCTATGAATTTCAAATGTCCAGAGCGATTTACAAGTACAATTGTTACGAACCATCGTTTAGAAAGCATGTATTTGGCTTACTTTTTGCATAAATTTACTTATTTTTGGGAAAGAACGCTCACTTATGTACATTCTTAGCCATCTTGGTTAGAATTGAAATCTGTAGGCTGGCAGTGAAATTTTGCGTGTTAGAAGTTGCTCAGAAGGGTGGCTGCACTTTTGGGCCCTAAGCCCTCCATGAACCGATCTGTCCATATTCTCCCTATACAGGTACTCTACTACTGATCACAGTACCAACTAAGAGTCCTTGTGGAGTCCCAGGGATGACTCCAAAAGAAGAAGAAGAAATTTTGTTGTGTTTTTTAATGGGAAAAAATCCCAGAAGTTTCATTCCTGCGATTCCAACTTGGGAAAAATCCCGTGAAACGTCCCGTTGAGACAGGGCGTTATAAGTCAACTAAAACTATATCCAAAGTTGTGTATGCTAGGGTCACAGCAGTGTTTTCATAATGGCAATATATTGTTTCTTAGCATGAATTTCACTGTATATTAGCATATATTGGTCAGAATTTGCATGGTACCTTCTAGTATCTCTTTAGCAATTTGTGGCTGAAGAGAGTAATGAGCTGTTATTTTCCGGAACATTTGTTTAGTCTATTTACTTGCGTATGTGATTGATTTAACTAAAGTTCAACATCCCTTTTCAGGTGACAGTCGCCTTTAAGGCATGTTGGGGTGCAAAAAAAGAAGCTACAACTTTGGAGCCTTCTCCTAACCGACCAGTTTGAGTTTCTGTTACGGATGATATTGAGTTGCTTTCTTTGAAGTAAGAGTGAAATCCTTTTCTTTGCATCATTATTATCAAGGTTTTCAAACATGTTCATGAAAGGGGTACCTAGTTATTTTTTGATATTTTTTCTTTCGTGTTGCAGAAGCAGGGTTAAATTTCGATGAGAACTTAGATATTATAGAGCTACGCCATCCGAGTACAGATGGTCCTGGTATGTTTTTACTATCTGCCGACAATACAGTAATTCAAGAAGTTCAAACTTTTTCTGATGATTTAAGGTAAGCCAGTGAATCCATTCTACACGCCTTGAGTGAAGCATTATTGCAACTCCATTCCAGATTTTGCATCTTTACAGTTGGCCGCAGGCTTTCTGTTTTTTTCAAACAAAATTTCTGAGTAATCCAGATTGCTCTAAAGCTTTACTTCTTTATGACGGCTTTCCTATACTATGACATGAATAGTATGAAACATAAATGTTTGGTGACTTCCTGGGAATTATTACATTACTTAAAGGAGAAAAAAAACAGTTATAAAAAAAATTTGCAAGTTCTTGCCATGGATGGCTGACTGTAGGGCTACCTTTTTTACTTTAGTGTAAATTTTAAGGGCCATCCTTGCAGCCAGGTAGTTACCTTTTGTTAGAAAGCATGGAACATCAATGTACCTGTTGCATAATTTTTTAAATTCATTTTTGGAAAATTAGTAAAAAATAGGCGAGAATATCTGCTTTTTTCTGATTTTCATACCATAACAGAAAATGAGAGAAAATTACTGAATGAGCTGAGCATGAAAATATCATTTGTTTCTGAAATGAGAGATTAAGCATGTTATCATGCTTAAATTCATACCTTGTCTAGTGGTGTATTGACCTCAATTGAGAAATTTTCTAGAACACATTATTGATCAAATATTCATCAGTGAATTAAACACAGCTTACCTGTTTAACTTCACTTAAGCTATTATTTAAGCAGAACTTTTCATCCGGGTCCTTTCAAATTTTTTTCTCTTTTTTTCAGATCCTGGTTCATTGATGAAACCGTTAAATCAGATGGAGATTTGTTTGTCACAACACCCATTGACCCATTGTTCCTAGCTTTATCTTATTTTGTGAAGGTATGTAGAAAATTAATAAATATCGCCAGCTATTGTTAGCCAACAAAAGTGAATGAAGTCAAGTATATTCGTTCAGCTAAATTGTTATCAGGGAGAATCCAGTTCTATATTGAATATTAAAGTAAATAAGTAAAATAAAATAAAATATAAATAAAAAAATAAATATAATTAAATATTAAATGTATGGAATTTTTTCTTTCTTTCAGGTTGGACGATGTATGCCCTTAGATCAAATATTGACAGATGATGAGTTTCCGCAAACCCAGAGATTGTTGGATGTTCTAAAACCTGCATCCCTAAGTCAGATTGCTGACATGAAAGGTAATAATAAATTTTCTGGTGAGACTTGGTCAACGTAAAAAATAGAAATCAGAATATTTCTCAGTGATGTAAGCTAAGTATAAAAAGCTTTACAGTACTTAGTGAAGAATGAATGGATAGCATTTAGCAGACAGGAACCAAAAGTTTACCAGGTTTTCAAAACTGTGCAACTCCTTTCGTTAGTTTTAAAAGATACTAAAAATTTATACTGCACTGAAGTTCATATTATGGTTTTCCTTTAAAATTAGCAATTTTTTAGTATACTTAAACACAACAAATATTTGCTTTGCTGGCATTCTTTAGATATAGATAAAGATGCACGCTTTTACAACTCTGTAATTGCATTGGATCCCCTCAGTTGAATATGATTTAAAAGAAATAAGTTTACTTCTCGGTAATCATACCTTCATTTGCTTATAATTAAATTTCTCTCTTCCTTGTGTCTCATACACTGTCTGTAAGTTTACGAAAAAGTTAATAACCGAGATTAAACTTTACAAATGAATCAACTTCAGACTTCCTCTTGTTTAATGTTACATCCAACTTAATGGAACTAACTGCCAGTCTCACAAAGTAATTCCTCCTTGTTCTCAGGTCCAGAGTCTGTGAATGCTTGGATGCTGAATGAAGAGAAACTCCTCTCATGGCTGAAAGCGAAAACCATGAGAGTAGCAGATGTGTTGAAACTCAAGCGAACTCATGTTGGACCAATGGCTGTGTCTAATACATTTGTCAAGTCAAAAGAAGATACGCCTGGTAAGCCCTCTCTACTAATAGAGTTTTAGTTGACTAGCTCGATTAAAAATCCTGCTCTGTAAAATTTACACAAATTGAGTGACATTGCCTTGATCTAAAATCGTTGCTGAAACAAGCCGATTTTGGAATGAACAATTGCACAGCTATTGGAACAGACACAGCCTTGAACAGGCCCTAGGTCATAAAATTTATCAACTTCTTTACTTATCAAATAATATATGTACTAAAATACCAAGTAAAGAAAAAATGTAAAAAAAGTGAGTTAGGTTTTCAATAAACAAAAAGGATAAAATTAACTTTTAATTTAACTTTTCATCAAGATCTTGATGGAACTAATTCATTCCTTTACCTCTGACAGAAGTTGTTTATTTTTCCAGAGAACTACCTGAAGTATGCCCATGGAATTATCTCAGAATATCTCCCTGAAGAACTGAGTAAGAAACTGTCAACTGCTCTTGGAATACCTGCAGAAACAGATCTCAAACGGAAGAAACCGCAGTCTGATGTTAAAGAAAATAAGAAACCCAAGTTGGAAAAAGTTGAGTCTGAATACTTTGCAGACTCAGTAACTTCATCGAACTCTGATTCCATGAATGAAGAAAAGGTGAGTCATTTGATGAGTAAAATTAGATACCATTAGAAGGATTGCTCAGTTGATATAATTGTGGTCTTTCTGAATCAGTTTTGTAGGTTAATAAAACTTGAGTGTCTAATAGGTTGATGTAGTACACTGTCTTGCGAAGGGGGAAAAAATAGGAGTATTTAGATGTTGGCATATTTATTTTGACAAATACACATTTTTTTGGGAAAGTTTTTCGCTTGAGCTTTACTGAGAATTAATTCAGTATACTCACAAATCATAAGGGAAAATATTGATATCTTGTTTTGATAATAAATATTTTATCGCTTGTGTGTCGCATCTCAGCAATGCGCAACTATTCAAAGCTTACCATGTCAATAAGCTTGAAACAAAAAAATAAAAAAACCCAGGTAAAATTCTTATCATCAAAATTGAACGGTGATACTAGTTGGAAACAGTGCCTTAAGGAAACGAAAAACTACGAGAAAGGTCTTGAAGCATGTTAGAAAGTACTTTAATAAAGGCTTCATTTTTTACTCTTGCTGCTGCGCAAACTTTTTTATGTATTTAAGGTATTATTATTAGTTAAAGTTATTAGTTCAACTGATTTGAGTTAACTTCTTTTTATTGGTAAAAAACGGAATTAAAGATGCTTTTTCTGCTAAAAACTCATCAAAATTTCGATCTCAGTTGATAACTTTAAGTGGATGTAAGTAATAATGTCAATTGAGACTGTAATTAAAAAATTGCATACTATTTATGTGTTCCAGCCACCTCCAACACCAAAGCAGACGATTAGTTCCAAGGATAAGGCGCGAGCTGTAGCCGCTAAAGGATCCAAATCAATATCATCGTTCTTCACAAAAAAATCCTAAGTTTGGCGAGGAGCTTATGTAAATTAAGTTTCAAATACATAATCTGTTCATTTCACTCTTTATTAAGTAAGTGCATGAAGTTAACCATCCTAGGTAAATTACATGTAAGTACCTGATTAATTTTACCACATGATCAAGTTTTTATCTTTTCACATCCTCTCAATGACTTAACTGCCAATAAAATTTATATTTTGTTACAATTGCAGTGAAACATTCAAAGAAACAAACGACTCAACATTTTTTAATATAATAGTCAGTTACAAGATATTTTTTTCCCCCACAAAAATGGTACGGAATAATAAGCAAAGTAAATCAACAAAACTCGAAACGTAAATTTCTGCAAAATCCGTCTATTTTCCAACCTGCACAGGTGTTACCTTTAGTTTTAATTGCCTTACTATTTATTAATTTTTTAACTGTAGAGTTCTTACATTGTCGAGAAAATCATATAACTGTGATGTAACTTAAATAGTCAGCATATCCAAATCTGAGAAGATGACTTTTGGTGGTGATCAGCAAAGCATTGAGTTGGAGGATGGGCAGCAGATCAAATGCTGCGAGCACTTCAAGTACTTGGGAGTGCGGTTGACCCAGGATGGAAGGACGGATCAAGCTATCAGGGAAAGGAACACCTTAGCAAGGAAGGCTATAGCGATGTTAAATGGAATCCTCTGGGATCAGCGGATTTCCAAAGATAACAAGAGGAGGATATACAACGCTATAGTAAAAAGTATATTAACATACGGATGTGAAGTTTGGCAGCTGAAGAAACGGACACAGGATATGCTAAGAGCAACGGAGATGGATTTCTGGAGAAGGTCGGCAGGAATTTCTAGGAGAGATCGGGTCCGTAATGATAGAGTGCGTCAGATAATGGAAGTCGAAAATGACATCGTGTTCGACGTCATGACCAAACAACTTGTTTGGTATGGTCATGTCAATAGGATGACGGAAGAGAGGCTGCCAAAAAAGATGCTTGATTGGGTTCCTCCTGGGAGGAGGCGTAGGGGAGGCCCAGTGAGAGGTTGGCGACAGGGGGTGTTAAGTGAGATGAGGGAGTGTCAACTCCCTGATAACCTGTGGGAAGACCGAGCTTTGTGGCGATTAGGTGTCGCAAAGCGCCAAAGAGCGCTATAACAGCGACTCGTATGTATGTATATACTTTTTGAATAAACGATTATATGGATGAAAAAGGAAATTAATATTTCTTTACTCTACACTTCCTCTGAAATTATTATCTGTTTTGGCCATAATGAGTGAATTCTGTGCTGAAAAAGAGGCTC